CTCCAGGTGCCAGCTGGCCGGAAGGGCCTTATCAGGCGCCCTGGTGAGAAAAACTGAGTCAGGGTGTTATTTGAGGCATTGGAGTCATGTGAGGGGAGTTTGAGGAGTGAGGTATTGGATTGGCCGCTAATGTGAGAGTGAGAGGGTCTGAATTTTTTTATGCTTAGAAAGAGCAACAGAAGGAAGGAGAAAGTGAAAGGAAGGTGTGAGGGAAGGAAATGAGAAGTTGCTTTGAGCGATAGTGCGCTCTAGATATTCCTCCGCGGCAGAAAAAAAGCACTGCGCGAAGGAATAGGAGGAGGAAGGAAGTGTAGCGAAAATAGAGCGAGACGGAAAAGAGATATGTTTTCACCCTGATCAGTTCAGGTGCCCCAGAAAAAAAGCACTGTTGACACAAGAATGATGAGAGCGGGATGGTTCAGGGGTCAGGGGGAGAGCAGTTAGTGGTTTTTCCTAAATGTTCCTAACGTTAGAACGTTGCTTCATGCTGCCAGAGCGTATAAATTATTTTCTGAAAATGTCTCTGTATGTGGTGGAGTTTCTACCAGACAGTAAAGGGGAAATTGAAGTTGCTGTTGTTACATCAACATGGATGAATGCAAATGAGGTGAAGGTAGCTTGGCCACCAAGTAAGACTGGCAGAAACCTCAATGGGGCTGACTCTTTATCATCTCCCAGATGATGACTGGCAGTGGTATGCTTGTCATCGCATCTTGAATGCTGTAGGTTAGTTGTTTGATGAAACTTTGATATCTGGGTTTAGCTTTGAAATTGAAGTTGCTTTCTCTTTTCCAGCCAGCTTGAAACAAGCAAGGAAAGAAGCAAAACTAGCTGGGGACACATCTGGTGTGGAGATTCGTGGCGAAATTGAAGAAAAGGAAAGACGAAGAAATCGTCCCAAGAACTTAGAAGTTGCTGTGTTCATCCAGGAAGTGAAATGAGATTCGCACAGGCAGGTTCCATCAGTTGGAGAGCCATCTGGTGGGAGTTCAGATGCAGTCCTTCTTTGGGCATACATTGGAAGTCCAGCAATGGAACCTCCAAAGATAACTTCTTATGGTCTTCTTTTCCTACCTTCCATTGCTGATTAGCCACTCACACGTTGTCTTAGCCTTGTGAGCAGGTGCAGCAACTATTATATGAAAGGCACTAAAAACCCAAAAATAATTTAAATTTTGACATGGGGTGAGTGTCACCTGTTGTAATATATTCTCAAAGTTCTCCTATTAATAACAGGTGTAATAATAGGATACTAATTAACGAAATTAATGAGAAATAATAATATTATGACATATGCCAAATGCTCTCCAATGTGTGTGTAGTATGCTTGGGTTTCCACCCTATCACCCTTACTACATTTGGCTGGGCCTGAGGGTGCAGATTTTGTAACTTACCCCTGGGCACAGAAGACCCTAGCTATGCCTCAGCCATGAACTCTATGATAGAATGGCCATTCCAGTGACAGAGGGCATGCTCAGTATTCAGTATGCCAACAAGGAATCCTTGCCATGAGATTACCGAGAAGGAAATAAGCAGTGCTGTGGGGAACTCTTCGATTCTCCCAAGACTGGAATGGAGGAAGGTGCTTATGGAGAATCCTCTAAGAAGAAAAATGTGTTGTGTGATTGAAGGGTATCTGTGCTGGTAGATTTTTTGTACGACCATTCATCAAGTCCCCAGAAAACTTTATATAATGACACTTTTGTTGGTACTAATTTTTCATTTTTATTAGGTTGTTCCGAAATAAATGTCCGATTTTCGAAGTGTAATGTTTTGTCTATCATTATACCTGTCAATTTTGCGATAACCAGTTATTGTTAAATACCGTTTTTCTTCAGCAAACCTTTCTCTATGTAAGCCACTTAGTTGCTTTTTAGCCTAACGTTTCTGTAGCTGCCAAAGCGAACGATGGAGAAACGCAACTTTCGTCCGATTTTTCTTTACGAGTTCAAACTCTGAACTAATGCTGCCGAAACGGCGAATAAAATCAACACTGCGTTCGGCCAAGGATCGGTCACGGATCGCACCATTCGACGCTGGTTCGAAAAGTTTCGTAACGGAGATGAGACTCTCGAAGAACAGGAAGGTAGAGGTCAGAAAGAGTCTCTTGACGACGCCGTTCTGAAGACTATGGTGGAACGTGATCCCCATGTAACGGTCCGAGAGCTTGCGGAAGAATTGTCTGTTGGCATCGCAACCGTTTCCCGTCATCTGAACGACATTGGAAAGACGAAGAAGATGGACAAATGGGTTCCGCACGAACTCACCGCGAGTAATCGCACTCGCCGATACGAGATCAGCTCCGCATTGCTTCTACGCAACACAAACGACCCTTTTCTCGACCGTATTGTTACGTGCGACGAAAAGTGGCTCCTGTACGACAATCGTAAACGATCGGCGCAGTGGCTGGACCGAGATGAGCCTCCCAAGCACTTCCCAAAGCCAAGCGCTCACCCGAAGAAGACTATGGTCACTGTATGGTGGACTTCAACAGGAGTGGTGCACTACCACTTTCTGAAACCTGGTGAAACAATCACAGCGGAGAAGTACTGTGACGAACTGGACACGATGCACGAGAAACTTCGCAAACTTCAGCCTGCATTGGTCAACCGAAGGGGGCCGATTCTGCTGCACGACAACGCCCGACCGCATGTCGCACATCTCACCGTACGCAAACTGAATCAGCTGGGCTACGAAACTCTGCCTCATCCACCATACTCCCCAGACATATCACCTACGGATTACCACTTTTTCAAACACCTGGATCACTTCGTCAAGGAGAAACACTTCCATGATCAGACCTCTGCCGAAGATGCCTTTAAGGATTTCATCGCCTCCAGAACCCAGGATTTCTACTCGACTGGGATCAACAAGCTTGTATCTCGTTGGCAGAAGTGTGTTGAAGCGGATGGTGCTTACTTCGATTAAAAATGTTCATTATCAGCCGAGTTACGACCATTCAAAGTTTGCGACCGAATTCGGACATTTATTTTGGAACAGCCTAATATGTTGAATTTTGAGAATTTCATTGTTATTTAAGTTTGTTTTTGTTCAATTATATTTCATTACATTCATATACTTGTGTTGCTCTTTTCTTCATGGAGTGCCACTGTATTTTGGGCTTTGGAGAAACTAAGCACTTCAGTTTGTTCCACATTTTTTATGATCGATGAGGAATTGCAGTCTGATGTGATGTGTCTGGATTTGTAGTTCTAGCTGACAATGGATGAGCCACTTATTCTGACAATTGGCCATTCTTATTCGGACAATTTTAAGAGGCATTCCAGTGCCACATTTTCTATACTTGGTGAGAAATTGCAGTCTGATGTGATGGGAGGATTCAGGCATCCTCTGAATCTGCAGCTGTAGTTCTAGCTGACAATTGATGAGCTATGCCTCCACTTATTCTGACATTTGGCCATCTAAAAATCAATGGGGACCTTTCCTACCTTTCATAGGTCTCTGAATGGTGTCACTTTGCTGCAAATATGTCTTTCATGAAGCTCAGTTTTCGAAATCAATATTGATAATCTGTAAATATTGTTGTAAAATAAATGTATGATAGTGCCATGTTATTTTTCACCAGTTAATTCACCTGAGTGGATGCTAGGTAATGAAATTCCATCGCACAGTTTGGGCATACATGGTCTTCCAGCTTCATTTCTCGCAGTCTTTCCCTTGGAGCTGTTTTTTTTTTCTGGGTTTCTTAGGGGTTCCTCTCACTGGTCGAACACAAAGTTCAGGGAGACATCGAAACCTGGTTAAGGAATTCACCTCCAAAGTGGACAATGTAAGTTTCAATGGTTTTGTGAACAAGCCTTTTTGTTTTCAGTTTTGAGTATGGGAATCATTCTCTTAAGTGAGGAAGGTGATCTGATCTATTCATTTCTTTGGTGTGGATTCAAAATCAGAGTCATCTCTTTCAATGTTGCAGAGAGCAAGCTAAGAAGACAAGTTTTGCTTTCAAAGATGAAGATGATGGAGATGAAGCTGAAACCTAGATGAACACCTGAGCTATCAATGTGGCATTTCACAAATGTTTCTCTACCCTCCTATGGGATTGAACTTGACAGGATGCATGTGTATTTGCCTCTAATATCCCAGAAGTCACTGCTTGCATTTTATCCTAGGCCAATTTGTCATCCCAAACGATCCAGAGCTCAGCTCTATCAATCAATTTGACACCATCAGCTTCAGCTTCTTGTGTCCTCTAACATTGGAAAGAAAAGTAACTTAAGCTGATAATTCCAAAGAATGCCCACACTTACAGGCATGACATGAGGAGAGTTTGACTAAATTAGGCAACTTTTTTATATACTTTAAGAGGCTATAATGGGTAAAGTAGTAATATAAGTTCTTTTGACCCATTCTCCTGGAGTAAGAAATATATATACCTAACCACCAAGGTTATGTGCTCAAATCTGCATGGCACGACTCTGCAGTTCATGCAAAGTTTTTTTTCCTATGTGGGCTTCTCCAAAGCTAAAGTTTTGCAAGAAAAAAAATGTATATTTGTATTCCAAAAAATTAAGATTAGATATCTCCAATTTCTTTTAATACCAGATTACGGGTCTGCAGGAATTGTCTCTAGATAATTGTTGCTTGTGGTATGCTTCTGGGGTTATATATCAGGTTGTAAAGGTGAAATTTAGACATTTCAATTTTTTCTAGATAAATCTGGAAAATTTTAGAACTTTCTATGTAGGTGTATAGGTNCAATTGGCTAATGAAATTTGTGATGAACACAGTTCACGGGGAGGGGGGCGATGACAGCGCCGAATGTATCTGTTGTAGGTTCACGATAAGCACTCACGCCCACAATGCCCACTGGTCACTGTACCTATACACCTACATAGAAAGTTCTAAAATTTTCCAGATTTATCTAGAAAAAATTGAAATGTCTAAATTTCACCTTTACAACCTGATATATGTGAGGTACATCATGTTGCTAAGACAGATTTTGCTTTCCAAGACGAACATCCGACTTCACAATGTTTCTGAATATATTCTGATAATATAAGAACATTCTAAGACGGAAGCCACCAGCGATTGTCCTTCCAGTTTCAAAAATGAAAATTATAATGGTGGGAATTCCAGATTGCAGAATGGGAGGCATAGCACCTCTTTCATAGTTAATTCAATCAAAATTGGCATGATAACCTCAATCTTGTGCCAATGAGTGAGCATGATTCCAAGTGCCAAACCCTTCCAAGGCAAACCCTTCATTTATTAACCTTCGTGATTTTTGTATCTTTTCCTCATTGTAAGGGAAATAATAAATTAATTTCATGAATTACATGAAAAGTAAAAAATCCAAATCCTAATATTTTCATTTCCAGGCAATGTTTTTCACTTCATGATCACCTCACTCTGATACCATATACCATATACATTACCCATTTGGGTACACAACAAATTTGTCCAGAAGGACCCATTTGGGGTGTACCCATCGGGTAATGGGAACATCAAATGGGGTTTTCCCAATGGGGTTATACCCCATTGGGAAAAAAGTCCATGAATGGCATCAAAATCCACATTGGTTGGTGAAAACACGACAATGAAATATTTGCTCCTTTCTTTGTCTTCTTTTATCCAGAAGAAGTCCATTGTCCAGTCTTCATCCAAATCGGCATCCATGAATATCGGTTGACTGAATTTCTCAACAATTCTCCTCTCCATCTTCTCCACTTCCCCTTTCTTTGTGTGTGGATAGATGTGGAGGAGAATCAGCTGATTCTTGTTCTTCTCCAAGAACTGATAAACATCAGACGATCTGAGAGCCTGGTCCTGGGAAGAGAAAGAATCTCATAAGAAATATTGACAAACCTCCCCCCACCCACTATCTGAACCGGTCAGGTTGAGATGGGTCCACTCGGATTTGCATCCCTTCATTGCTGAAGGGATGCCCCTTCACCCATGGCTCCAAGTGGACCCATCTCTGACCCTGACCCCCCCACCCACCTACCTACCTACCTACCTACCTACCTGCCTATGTCCCTGGTACTGAAAGGGCATGT